TTTCTTGGCCCAGCGAGTTTCTCTCTGCTCTGGGGTCTGGCTCGGTTCAGGCCCAGCCCGGAGGTGGGTGATGGCTCAGTGCTGTCCGGGCTCCCGGCTCCTAGGGGCTCTGAGCTCAGCCCATCGGGTGGTGGCCTCGTTTCTGGAACATGCTGCCGGGAGGTGGTTGCCGAGAGCACCCCGTGCCTGGACAGGCTTTGTTCGGGCACCTGGGGGTGTGAGAGCCAGGAGCCGCCCCAGTTCCCATGGTCGGCCGCGCACCCCTCAGCAAAGTGGGCCAGAAAATGCCACATACTTCTCACAGGGAATTTGTTTTAAATTTCCTGCAAACCTTTTCTGGTGTTTCACCCCCGGGGGAACCCTGACGTGTTTCTGGAGTTTCTTCTGTTCCCACAGATCAGAGAGTTTTATTGGAAACAGGAAGTTTGACCATTTTTCAGTGACAAAGTGGAAAATTTACATTTGGTGAAAAATTGTCATTTTGGTCAAGAAGCCGCTACAGAAAAACGTCGCCCAGTTGGGACCGGGCCCTGGGTCCAGCCCGAACTCCGCTGCTAATGGAATAACGGTAACAGATACCGGAGAAGAACTCCTGTTTGTTTTGCTTTCCAGCAGCCGCAGCCCAGTCGAGGGTGGTGGTGCATTACATCCACACGGCTCACCCGCACACAGATCACATCAGGGGGTCTCAAACTGGGGGTTGGGACCCCTCAGGGGGTCACGAGGTTATTACATGGGGGGGTCGTGAGCTGTCAGCTTCCACCCCAAACCCCGCTTTGCCTCCAGCATTTATAATGGTGTTAAATATGTAAAAAAGGGTTTTTAATTTATAAGGGGGGGCCACACTCCGAAGCTTACTGTGTGAAAGGGGTCACCACTACAAAAATCTGAGAACCCCTGGATTACATTAATCTGGCTTTAACTTGGCTGGTAAACATTTAACAACTGAACCCACATGTTGTAGGAGAGGCGCTGCCCCCACTGGTCCCAGGGTGTTAACAGAGCGCTGACTCCTAGGACTTGGGGTGAAACTGCCCCTGCAGGGTGTCTTCCCTGCCTGTGCCGCAGCTGGTCCTGGTGTCACG